GGAATGAAAGGGATGGGTGGGAGAAAGGGAGGGGAGCAGACGAGGGTGGAGGAGGAGTGTGGGGGGGGGGGGCTGGGAGGAAAGGCAAGGATGGGGAGGAAGGGGGAGATAGTGTGCCTGATGTAGTAGGGTGGATAGATACAGCCCTTAACTGAAAATCAGGAGATGCTGGGTCCTATCTCCTATCAGCCTCCTCCTAGCTGTCTAAATACAGTGATTACATCTGAGAGTCAGTAGTTTCTCCTATGAGAGTTGGACTAGATCGGAAATGCAAATAATTCTCTGGACACTAGAGATATTAGTTATAAGATATGCTGAGGAAGTAAAAAACCATCTCTACTTTCTTTAAAATTTAGTTGCCAAACAGCTAAGTTCACCACTATAAATAGTATACAGGAACACCTTATTTATTCAGAAGGCAATTTACCCAGAATATATATAGCTTAGAATCCTGTAGGAAACAAAGGTCAAAATATATGTCACAAAACTCATACACTAAAGCTAATATTCTTTTTTTAAAAATGTTTTTATTGACTTTTGAGAGGAAGGGAGAGAGAGAAACATCAATGTGAGAGAGAAACATTGATGGGCTGCCTCCTGCATGCCCCCTACTGGGGATCCAGCTGCAACCCAGGCATGTGCCCTGACTGGGAATCAAACCAGTGATCTTTTGGTACATAGGCCGATGCTCAACCAACCGAGCCACATCAGCCAGGGCATAAAGTTAACATTTTTTATAAACAGACCCTTAGGCTCTTATTCAGAGGTTATTTATTCATGTTTTGATAATACAATTACTGTGTGTGAATTTCGGCAGAATGAAACATTTTATTTTTTAAAAATATATTTTTATTGACTTCAGAGAGGAAGGGAGAGGGAGAGAGAGATAGAAACATCAATGATGAGAGAGAATCGTTGATCGGTTGCCTCCTGCACACCCCACACTGTGGATGGAGCCCACAACCCGGGCAGGTGCCCTGACCAGGAATCAAACTGTGACTTCCTGGATCACAGGTCAACGCTCAACCACTGAGCCACACTGGCCGGGCAAAACATTATTCATTTTAAAGAATCATCCAGGCATATATGTTTTCAATAGCAATTCATGTACCCAGTGAAAAGATCAGTTACATA